AAAGAATGCGAGAAATTACAACGCCCAATATGGTGTCTGCAGTAAAGGACCAGCCTTTAAATTAAGAACGATAGGTTGCCTTATTAGTCAAGGCACTGCCTAGTCTATTTGCTTTACAGTGTGCATGCACATTAACTGGGCCAACATGCAAATACACTACTGTTCAAAAGTTTGGGGTCAGTGCTCTCTTATGCTCACCAAGGTTGCATATATTTATTCAAAAATACTGTAAAAACAGTAATATTGTGAAATATTATTACAAATTATTAGTACAATATTTTAATATATTTGAAAAAATGATTTATTCCTGTGATGGCAAAGCTGAATTTTCAGCAGCCATTACTCCAGTCTTCAGTAGGGTTTGGTATCGTTTGAATTTTAGTGATTCAGATTCTTATCGATTCCCAGTTTCGATTCCAAAATGGCAAAAAAAAAGTCAAACATTTTGATATCAAACATTATTTATTCTGTCTTTTTGCAAAACATTCTGTTGTAGCTGAATACCATGAACAAAAATCAGCAGCCTAATGAACAACTAGACTAATATAATTTCAAACATTATTAAAGACAAGTATACAGTCAAGTAACACAATAAGAACTAATAAGCAAGTTGGCAATAGCACAAATACAACTGAACAAAGTTCAGAGATTTAAATCAAATGTAAAATCACACAGCATAGTTTTCTTTTTGTCAATAAAATATAGATTAATCTTTTTTTAAAGTTGCAAATAGGGCTGGGCGATATGGAGCAAAAAATATATCTCGATATATTTAGCTATATCTCGATATACGATATATATCTCGATATCTTTACAGGAAAAATAACCCAACAAAAATTACTGCAAAAACAAATATGCCAAATACCACAGCCTTTTTTTTATTGGAGTGCAAAGAGGTAGGCAGTTCATGTAGTCCAAAGTGCTTCTGCGACATTTAAAAAAAAAAAAAAAAATCCCTGTATACAAAAATAATAATTCAACGACGGCAATAGCCAGGGTTGCCACCGTTTTACCGGGATTTTCATTCTTTTTAATAACCTGTCCCGGGAAATTGATCCACTCTCCCGGGACACAGAATGTCCCGGTTTTCGAAAGGCTGTGTGAATATGTATGTTCAAACCGCATAGCGTGCGCACGGCAGAGAGGGAGAGAGCACCGTGTAGCACGCGCACGGCAGAGAGGGACAGAGAGCGAGAGACCTTGCGTGTGTTTGCTAGAGTGCATGTGTGCCTCAAGAAGTGCATGTAAGACAGCATTTAAGACGATTTTTTTAGACGAGTTCTGTACAAGGGGGTAATCCATCAGCCGGAAGTTGAAGCCTCGCGGGAGCCGCCATTGTAGCAGAACTTCACCTGCTGTTAGCATTCCATTGACTCCCATTCATTTTGCCGTCACTTTGACAGCGAATAACTTTACATCTGAGGCGTCCAAAGACTCCATTTATCCCTTATTTATTTCTAAAGAAACACGACAATGTATAAAAGGCTCCATTACCTTGTATCTTACGTTATGGCCCCGTAGAAGCAGTTTTTGTAAAAATAGGCTAACGATTGCGTCATAACGAATCGACTCTCCGTCGCACAGTAGAGAAATTACCGTATAGACAGGAGGAGAAGCTCGCTGGCAATCGGGGGGACGTGGAGGCATAAAGTCAAGGGAGAAGCCCATAGAGAGTCATAAAGTTGATCCTGCTGCAAGCTCATGGACAGCTAATACTCACTCTCTCTGTCTCTGTGAGATTCGGAAGGGAATTATTCAGATTTCACTCGGCACAGCTACTAGAAGACATACAGGTTGCTCACGTGACAGGCTCAGTTTGAGCCTGCGCAGTACGCCTGGCAGTCAGCTTTTAACGGGCTTCAATTTTCTCCGTTGAAATCAATGGGGTCGCTGTGTCCATTTCTTTTACGGTCTATGGTTCTATAGCCTCCGGGCTAGTTGCGGGCGCCGCCATGTTGAATGAGACAACACGCGAGGGGAGGGGAAACAAAAGCAAGGAGGCGGGGGCGAGCACAGCGCAGAGAAGGCAAAGTGGCGAAATCAGAATTAAATATAAACAATATATATATATATATATACACTCACCGGCCACTTTATTAGGTACACCTGTCCAACTGCTCGTTAACACTTAATTTCTAAGCAGCCAATCACATGGCGGCAACTCAGTGCATTTAGGCATGTAGACATGGTCAAGACAATCTCCTGCAGTTCAAACCGAGCATCAGTATGGGGAAGAAAGGTGATTTGAGTGACTTTGAACGTGGCATGATTGTTGGTGCCAGAAGGGCTGGTCTGAGTATTTCAGAAACTGCTAATCTACTGGGATTTTCACGCACAACCATCTCTAGGGTTTACAGAGAATGGTCCGAAAAAGAAAAAACATCCAGTGAGCGGCAGTTCTGTGGGCGGAAATGCCTTGTTGATGCCAGAGGTCAGAGGAGAATGGCCAGACTGGTTCGAGCTGATAGAAGGGCAACAGTGACTGAAATAACCACTCGTTACAACCGAGGTATGCAGCAAAGCATTTGTGAAGCCACAACACGCACAACCTTGAGGCGGATGGGCTACAACAGCAGAAGACTCCACCGGGTACCACTCATCTCCACTACAAATAGGAAAAAGAGGCTACAATTTGCAAGAGCTCACCAAAATTGAACAGTTGAAGACTGGAAAAATGTTGCCTGGTCTGATGAGTCTCGATTTCTGTTGAGACATTCAGATGTTAGAGTCAGAATTTGGCGTAAACAGAATGAGAACATGGAACCATCATGCCTTGTTACCACTGTGCAGGCTGGTGGTGGTGGTGTAATGGTGTGGGGGATGTTTTCCTGGCACACTTTAGGCCCCTTAGTGCCAATTGGGCATCGTTTAAATGCCAGGGCCTACCTGAGCATTGTTTCTGACCATGTCCATCCCTTCATGGCCACCATGTACCCATCCTCTGATGGCTACTTCCAGCAGGATAATGAACCATGTCACAAAGCTCTAATCATTTCAAATTGGTTTCTTGAAAAAGACAATGAGTTCACTGTACTAAAATGGCCTCCACAGTCACCAGATCTCAACCCAATAGAGCATCTTTGGGATGTGGTGGAACGGGAGATTCGCATCATGGATGTGCAGCCGACAAATCTGCGGCAACTGTGTGATGCCATCATGTCAATATGGACCAAACTCCCTGAGGAATGCTTCCAGCACCTTGTTGAATCTATGCCACGAAGAATTGAGGCAGTTCTGAAGGCAAAAGGGGGTCCAACCCGTTACTAGCATGGGGTACCTAATAAAGTGGCCGGTGAGTGTATATACGATATGTCAAAATCCATATCGTGTTTAAAAAATATCTCGATATATTTTAAATATCGAGATATCGCCCACCCCTAGTTGCAAAAGTTATCCAGTCAAGATCAGTGATTGATTTTTTTTTCCTTTGATTAAAAAGGATTAACTGACATGTTTAATAGGCTGCTGTCACTTTAATACAGGATGCACGGATCCAGTATACGGTTACAAATGCGCTTTCTTTCTCAACTGTTCATGTTCACTTAAACCCACTGTGTTTACAAGGATATTTTTACATAATTTTGTGTGTATTTGCCCGTGCAAGAAGTGCAAGAAGACATGAAGACATGAAAGAGAACTCAATTCGGTATTCGTGCACTATATGAGAAGCGGCTTTTTGTGTGTGTGCTCTGGATGTGCCCAGGATAGAAAACAACGTGTGAGTACCAAACTGAGTTCTCTTTCTCGTTGTCTTGTGCTTGAATGGTTTAAAACCACATTAAATTGGCACACAGGAATCGATAAGACTAATCGAAGTTTTTATTTTTATATCAAGTATCCGATTCCCAACCCTAGTCTTCAGTGTCACATGATCCTTCAGAAATCATTCTAATATGCTGATTTGCTACTCAAGAAACAATTATTATTAATTTTAGGGCTTTGCGATAAACAGTATCATATCCAGATCACGATCAAATTTACGTTGATAACGATAATAAGCTCTGGACATTTTTACTCGATATGAATTCATCTAACAGCCTATCACACAGTAGAAATAAATGTGACAACAGCCAGTAAGTGCATGTTTCTAATAAGTGATTTCTGTGTGTCTCTGTGTGAATGTACGGCGTCTGATATGGTCTGAGCTGTCGACATGGGCTTCATCTCCAGAGCTGCTTTGAGTCACTTCACAAGCTTTTTACCATTTAATTTGAGAAAAACTACCTTCAAATACAAACTGGAACTGAAACTAAAACTGGAAGATCTTCACAACAAACCTTCAAAATAAAAGTTTGGTTTAACCAAGAAATTATTACAGAAATATATCACTACTGTATGCTAAAAAGTACTTAATAATGATAATATTATTATTTCTAAGGAATATCATACAACCAAGATGATATGTTTTCATCCATGTTTTAACTGTTTACTTTCTTAGTTGACAAAAAAAATTGTTGTTGTTTGTTATATTTTTATTTAATTACTTTTTAAATGCTTGATTAAATTGTCAAAGTTTATATAAATTTGTGATAATCATAAAACACAGACACACCCCAATAAGAAATTTCAGAAACTGCATCCTTGCGGAATAAAAATATTAATTTATTTTTTAAATCTTATTGACACCAAACAGTAGTGTAATGTTTTTATGTTTAGCCTGATTAGAATAAAAAAAGCAATTTGTATGATGCCATTTTGTTGCCAAGTGAACTGACGCGCAAAATCTTTGTTGCTATCCTATTGTAGCAACTGTTGCTATCCTATTGTTTAACATTGCTCTGTGTCGCTCCATGCGAGCTTACTTTGACATGTTTTACAAATTATGATGTAAAACATTGATGAGCAATTATACAATGTGAATGTCTGCACCTGCAACTTTTAAAAAGTGATCTTGTGTATTTTTATTCTTGACTATTCATACCATCTGACTCTTTATGTGCTGACTTAACTCTTCTTCTTTATTTTCCACCTGCCCCAAAATCAAATCCCTTCTGCAACAGATGCCCAATGGAAATGGCCGCCTGTCCAGCCATAATGTGCCCCCCCAGTACCGCACACACTCCTACTATTCATCTTACCTGAGTCAGGGGATTGACACGGCTGCATGTGTCCCACCCAGCACCTGCCCTGAGCCCAAAGCAGCAGGTCAGTCACATGCGCACACACACACACACACACACACACACGCTTCTTAGGGCCATAAACTTTTATCCAGAGATTATCAACAGTGTGAGCAAGTACATCTGAGGGAGGTTCATACTCTGAGTCAAGGGCGCTGTAAAATTTATAAAAATAAATAAATTCAAAGGTAAAACTTTTATGAGCATCATTTGTTCTGGTGACTTCAGATTTAAAGAGACAAGGACCATGTGCTAAGCGCTTCAGTCTTAGAACATAGAAATCATAAATTATATTTTATATTAAAAGTTCCTCTGCCTTTTACTCTGTAAAGCTATGTACTAAATTAAACTGTCTACAATAATTTTTTATTTTTTTAGAAACAATGCATGGCTTACTGTGCACCATTCTCCACTAATTTAGAGTGTTAAAGGACATTTTAGCTCTCACCATCAGTGTGAGTATGATTATGGCGTTTCTGTGATCCACCATTCCCGTATACCTCCAAGCTTGCCACCTGCTCTGGATGTCAATGATTTTTACATGCTGATTTCCAGTGGTTTCAACATGAGGGTGCCTGTCACCCCCACTATCACTGCAGGGGTTCCATTACAACACAAAACACCAGGGTTCCCGCGGATCCTTAAAAAGTCTTAAAAAGTCTTAAATTAGATTTTTAAAATTTAAGACCATAAAAAGTCTTATAAAGTCTTATTTTTACTTATGAAAGGTCTTAAATTTTAGATGACACTTTGACTTAGACATATCTAAAAGCTTTCCAAATTAAAACTATCTAATTAGCGTACGTATTTTTATTTATTTATTATTCTATCTTTGTGGATTTGCTAATTCACGTGACATTTCGCGTCACTCTTGAGTCGCGGCAGCATAACTGTCTCCTGCACGCGAGAGGAGAGAAGGAGAAGAAAGGTCGTAAATGTCAGTTCAGTTGTAAGTTCATTCTTTATGTGCGTATGGTGTGCGATGTGTATTGTCTATTATGATATTGTAATCATTGTTTTAACAATGTACGAGGCACTGCGAGCTGACAGCGCATTTGTCTCGTGCTTTCACTGCGTGATGTGTGCAGTGTAACTGTTATGTCCCCAAATTAGTTTTTGTCTTATATTTATATCATATTATGTTCTTATATTAGAATATCACATCAGAAAGAGTGCCGTTTTCCCGTGCACAATTCCAAGTGTGATATTTATGTTATACAAAAGTTAAATTAACAATAAGTTAACATTGAGTTACTTTTTAGACACAATATTGTCAATATTGTTTGTTTTCCCTTTATTTCGCCGACTATAATTTCAAAATGAAACAGTAGCAGAGTCTCAATGCAACCGACAGCGATGATTTCTTGACTGAAATCCGCGTTTTGAACGAATCACTTGCTTCTTTCCCGAATGAATCAGCCGTTTGAACGAATCGGTTGAATGAATGACTCCCTCAACTCACTTACTCACAACAGTGATTTGCCGCTGCGGTTTCATATTTAAAGTACCCTTTAAATAAAATGTTAAAATTAGAAATCATTTCATATTTAAATATTGAATATTGATTTAAAAATAGGCTATATATCTCATAGCTTTATTTATGCAGTTGTAAATGGAGTGTAAATATATTAATGCCACTTCTGATGCCGCTTCTGTCACCTCTGCACTGCAAAGATGGATTTTGATTGAATGATTTAATTTGACTGGTAACAGTGGTACTGTATGATTATTATATAATTAAGTATTATTGTATAATTACTGTATAATTTAATTTGAATGATAGTATTTGACATTAAAGGTGATGCATAACTCTAAATAAGTTTAGAAAAAATGTCCATATATAGGTGAAAATGCCCCTGAAAAAATCAATTTAAGGTGGCAAATATTGCCCCTTAATTAAAATATTAATTTCTGTCACTGCTGTGAACTGACCACTGCATAGAATATGAAAAATATGAATATCTTCGTGAGTCAGCTGTCAACAACAGACCTAAACCAGCCATGGCACCAGCACAAAAACACAATCAGGAAAATATCATCTAATTATTATCAACAAAACGTTGAAAATATCAAGATATATTTTTGTCAATACTGCACAGCCCTAATGTACGGTATTAATTTTGATTTCTTAAGGTCTTAAAAAGGTCTTAAAAAGCCTTAAATTTGACTTTCAAAAGTGTGCAGGAACCCTGAACACTCCAAGTTGGGTGGTCCAATCTCCAAAACACCCTTACTCAGAGCCCAGCATTGAAGGGTCTGTGATCTATTACACGTGTTCCATAACTACTATTTATATGATTCCCTAATGCAGGGTTTTTTAATAATTTTAATATTAATTAAATGTGTTTAAAGGCGTGAGGGCGATCAACAGAATGTAATAACTGCAAGTTATCTCATTATTAATTTGTTTCAGTACAATAAAAACATAAAAGCCAATAAATTAATTGTGAGCAACATGTATTCATAACACATTTATTATTCTTACACAGTATACTGTAAATGAGTATACTGTACATGCAAATATATAGCTAGCTGTCTTTTTTCTTGAAGTGGGTCTCTCAGAAGGGGATCATCATATGTATTTGGGGGTCTTTGGCATCCAAAAGTTTGAAAACCTCTGCCGTAATGAACTTTAGTCAGCATAGATGGCATTTTGTGTGTGTGTGTGTGTGTGTGTGTGAGTGTGTGTGAGTGAAACTAGGCTAATCAACTACTACAGTTACAACAAAATGTTTTATTCAAGACTCAACCTGTTCGAACCCTTTGGTTATGGTTAGGGAAGAAACTAGATGACATGAGTGACCATCTAGGCTAGTGTGGCCCGAGTTTGATGGGGTCTGCACTCCCTCTTCATTCAGATCCCTTAACATCTCATAGTGTTTTATTGTGTCATATTCACAATCACAACTTCTACAATCAGACCTGATTAGCTGTTCCCAGCATTGTTGTTTTCTGGTAACTATAGAGGACTTTTAGGTATTACTACTTGTACTGTCAAGAGAGATTAAAAAAGAGGCAACTCCGTAAATGACAAGCATTCAAGTTTAATTATTTTCAAAGTAGCTTTACAGTAAGATACAAAGGCGCCTGGTTTTCAGATGGTTTTGTCTCTTGAGTCCTCTGTACTCTTTCTGTGGCTCCAGTGCTTGTGTGGCATGTATTTATTTTCCCTAGCGCTGGGGTAATCAGTTGGCCAAATATGAGGCCAAATAACCTTCAGGAGTGCGACGCTGTCCTTTCCGAGCGGCCCCCACAGCTGTCTTTGGAAAATTGCCTCTGGGGTTAGTGAGCGGGAACAAGTTAAGATTTACAAACAATGATGAAGCTTGTCATGCGTCTTTCTCCATCCGTCACGAGCGGCGGCCTGCCGGGGCGTCGAAGTGTTCTTCATAAAGCTCAGCTCGCTGTGAAATACGCCCCTGTGCGCTCTTTACTGCTGGGAGCTCGTCAGCAGCGCTCCGCCATAAATTGCCTGGGCCGGAGGTGACACTGCACTCCATCACCCGGCAGGGCAGCCTTACCTCCGCCCGCATCCGCCCCCACCCGCGGCAGCCGTCCCAGCCCGTGAGATGATGTGCCCGCTGTGAGTTATGTTGGAATTTCAGTGTTATACGAGACAGTCTATGGGTTTTACCATTTTTTCTCATGCTTTGTTTTTTCTTTTTGTCACCGTTTATTATTGGAAGATTCAAAGTTAGTTTTGTTTGCGGTCTGGGCCTAGTTTACAGTTTTGGAGAAAGTGGACAGCAACCATATTTGAAGAGAATATGGGTGGGCAATTATGGCCCAAAAAATTATGTCTCTGTATTTTTTGGCTAAATGGCGATATATGCTATATATTTCTGTATTTTGTATTAAAAACAAATCTGTGTTTATTTAAAAAAAGGTTCTTTCATATCCTGCCTAATGTTGTCCTACAAACAATGTTCATATTGAAGGTTATGAAAACAAATATAGCGAATATAACCACGTAGGCTATGCTATGTGCAAAAAAAAGAGGGTTAAACCCACATTACATTCTAACATTGTAACGACAACATTACAATCTAAAAACAAAAATAATGCTTTTTAAAGCATTAAAGTTAAATTTACTAAATTAAAAATGAAAATAAGTAAAAAACGAAAGCACAGACTAAATATTAACTGTAAGAGGAACATACATTCACTCATCTGAGCTTAGTAATTTAGCCCACATTTGATTACCCCATTACACTTTATCATAACAATACACTTAATTGTAAGTTTAAAGTTCTACATATATGGCACATTTAATGTCCAACAACAAATATTTCAGCAAAATGTAATTTTTTTGTCAAAATTATGGCTCTCATTCTATTGTGCTCTATCTGTCTGGTGCGCATGTGTGCAGTGGGGCTCGAGCACTGAAGTCTGTGAAGTTTAGCGGAGACTCGTTTAAGCATAACACCGTGTCCTAACCAGACGCGATGCGATAAGATTCCAGCGACAAATAATTTGTCTGTTCACACTAGACGTGACGCGACTGCGAGATAAGTCAAAATCAATCAAAAACCCACAGCCAATCAGAACAGCGTGTGGGCGGAGTCTCGCGGCAAGTGCACAGCACCAGAGAGTAATCTTGACGGCACTCGCAAGAAAATGGATAAGTAGGCTACATAATCAAATTCACAAATATTACACCATTTAAACATTATTAAAAATGCATAGGCTACTGAGTTATAAAAACAATCTTTGTCAAATAATACACTTGTTTGTTCACAGTTTGAACGTTTTTGTTTCCAGTTGTTTAATTTCAAGATCTGAGGAGAATTATCCATTGTTGCTTTAACAGCTAAAGCTGGGAGAACTAAATGATATTCAAAGTCACATTGGATGCTTTTAACATTAAATAAAGCACATAAACAGTACCTGAGATTATCATTGCCAAACTTTGTGTTTGTTGTTTCAGCCGCGACGTCGTAGAAAAATAGAAACCGTTTCTAAAATAAAATCTGGTTAGGACACGGTGTAAGGCTCGTCCACTCATGACAGCAAAATGTATATATT